CATCATGGGAAATTGCATTTTTTTTTTCTCTTTTTTTATTAGTCATTATTATTTTCTATTGATTTTATTTCATTTTCCCCACATGATTATCCAGCAAGATAGATTAGGCGAAAAACTAAAATTGTATACAAAATTAGATTAATTTCATTATTATTATTATTATTATTGTTATTATTATTATTATTATTGAATATATGATAAAGGCTTTTTGTCTGGTATTCCCGTTATATTGTTGTAACCTCGGGAAGGTTACTGAATAGAATAATCACACGAAGGTTTCAAATGAACGATAATACTTAGGACAAGAACAACGCATATAAGATTCGCCAGCGGCGCGTAGAAGTAGTAGTCAACTGCTAGAATTGAGCCAAGTGAATTCCACAATGAATCTCCGACTGCAGGATAACTACCAACCGCCCCATGCGGTCAGATGTGGCACAAGGCCGAATTTAATGTGGGGTATCCATCCCTTAGGCTCGGCCAAAAATTTCCCATAGACCCCGTATAAAACAGGGTTGGGTAGCTGTTTCCCTAGACGACTCTGTCCTTCGACAGATCCTCCGGGGGGCAGCGAGTTTGACCAGCACAGCTGGAGACGAATCTTCGACTGAAGACCAACATACAGTATTTACTACTGTATTTATGCGAATGGGGACATACCCATTATCGTCCGTAGGTATGCTACAACATATATATTTATAGATTCTTGATAAAATACAAAGTATCTGCAATGTTATTGGTTCTGATCTGGCATCTCGGCTGCAGTTTCTTCCCCCACCGCCGTAATGTCGCTTCCCTGCGCCATTTCTATAAATAATTTTATGGTAATTGTTCCGATGAACTTTCCGTTTTGAGGTACTATGGAGGCTGTAGTAAGAATGATAAGTACGAGTGTGTCGTTTTGGTGTAAGGAATACTGTGGAGTGTTTGGGTTAGTAATCGTGGTTAGCTAAGTTTAAGATAAGTGTTGTGGCCTGTTTAGGAGCCAGAAAAAAAAAAGACACGGAAGACGAAGGTGGGTCGAAAAAAATGTATATTGAAGATATCTATACAAAACGATAGTGTTAGTAATAAGTATTAGGTTGGTGCAAAAATAATGACGTAATAATGTCGTTTTTTGACGTTAAAAATACATCAAAAATGACATTATTACGTCATTATTTTTGCACCAACCTAATAGATTATAGCACTTGCGTCTACTACTCCACTTCACTTCACTTCACACTCTGCGCTCCCGTTCGACTCTCGCAGTTTGTATTTATGAGAGGAGGAAGAGTTCATTATACTGTAAGAGGGTTTACCACCACAACAATAAGACAGATTGAAAACCAGCCTTCCCCTATTCCCCCCTTTGGCCTTGTGCCTGATTTTTCTACTATTGAAAATAAATATTACTTTCCGCTATGATACCTAGAGTTTATCAATTTAAGCGCAGTACTCGATTGGCGGTAAGGTCTCACCATTTTACAGCTGGATTGGCTAGATGTAACCATAAGTCCTATGCTAACCTATCTTTTCTCGGTTTATTCTATCGCAAGCCATGCTTTCCGGTTAATTTTGATCTTGAAAAATGTAAATGCAAAGCCAATCGTTATCTACTGTCTTCCTGATTATATTTCTATGATACTCACTCCTTAATAATGTTTTGTTTTTACTTAACCTTTCACGCCCACGAACGCCTTGTGTCTTAGTGGCTTTATTGCCTCGTTTGGGGTAAATTTGCTTAAAACCAACAACAGTTGACATATCATAAAACCAGTCAACCGAGCTAAATCAGCAGTTTGGCGTGGGGTGATGGTTGCAAGGTTTTACCATTTTCCATTTGAAATGACGAGATGTAAACCGTAAGTTCTATGCTAACAGTTTCCTCTCTCACATTTCTCACTTATGTAACTCTCTTCTCCTGGTTTCTCGGTGTACTTTGATCTTGATCGATTTAAATGTAATGTCGATCTTCTGTCTTCTTAATACTTGTTCTTTTAGTGTCCATTCTCCTTAATAGTAGTTTTGGCTCATATTTTCTAATGCTCAGTAACCCTTTGCATCTTAGTGGCTTTATTGCCTTGCTTGGAGTGATATGATTAAAATTCGTCAGATCCGAAATGAACCGGTAAATTAGTTTTGAAAAAAGCACACAGCTATGAATTTTTAAGCAGTTCCCTATTTTGCGAACCTAAAGTTGTGGCTTATCGAATATATATGTATATGTGAGCAAATACTGAACCAAGTTTTTAAAAAAAAAACAGTGTATAGCAAGATTTTTCATTAATTTTATGTTAACTGCTGTGTTCATGACTGTATCATGCCATGTTTAATATTAGGATCAGAAAAAAACTATGCTCATATTCAAGTAATGTGCATCGCATTGGCATGTCTATCGTTAGCAACGAAGGGGTTTATCTTTTTTCTATCTTTCCTGTTTTTTTGTTTTTGTTTTTTTAAAGTCCGCACTGAATTGAAATCTATTTTAGAACTGCTTGTGTAACAGAATGTACCAGCAGTGAAGAGCAGCAAATGGCCAGTACAAAGTTGCTCATATGAACAGCTTGATTATATTAACATGTATGGATATCTAACCTTGATACCTAATGTCTTGCTTTACTTCAAATAATGAGTAAATTTCACTATTTTAGAAGGGATTATTTAAAAGAAACAATCATTAAAAAGCAGCAAATGGCCAGATCAAAGTTGCTCATATGATCAGCCTTATTCTACTTAGATTATTCGGACGATTGTCCTCATCTTTTTCGCCATATTTAATACAACATATCGGCAGTTGTACGCTCCAGCCTTCTTTAGGTGGTTGGAATGTCGAACTTAAGCCTTTATTTCGCTCACTGGGGTAGACTGTTCTAGTTCCACGTGCCATGTTTAATGGATGTCAGTTATCAGTTATCTCCTGTTAATTCTCCTCTCCAAGTTCTCCACTGCCTTAACCGGGTAAAACATGACACGTGGAACTAGAACTATTATATATTATATAAAACAAAGGGCATAAATTATACTCATGTAAGCACAATCAAGATATACACATCCAGTCATATATATATATATATATAGAGAGAGAGAGAGAGAGATAATATTAGTGGTAAATATACACAAACATATGCAAAATATATGAATATATATACATAGGTGCATACACATACATGTATATTTTTTGAATAAAAAATTCCAAGAGGATAGAATGCAGGTAGAACTCAATGTCCGGAGTAAGGATATAATAAAAAGGCTTAAACACTAATATTCCATGGTCATAATTTATTCCATTGGAATCGTAAATACGATCAAATTCATCAGACCTACAAATTCAAAAAGAAAACAGAAAAAACAACTCCGGAAATGAAAACAGAATTTAGAGAGAGTCTAGAGAAGGAGGGAGATTAAAGAGAATTTTAGGAGAGGTGAGTGGAAGGGGTTTAAGTAAGAGATGTAAAAGAACGAAGAATAAAATTGCAACGCTCAAAACATTAATTTAAAACGGGGGTCAATAGAAAAGTAGAGCAATAAATATTTATTATAAACTGTTACATTAGAACATCTAAGTTACTGCTACAAATTTGTACATTTTGTTCCGACGTTTAATAAACAACGTCTCATCCGGTAGTTAACAATGATGGTAATAAACCATTCTATTGACAATTAAATAACAAATATTAAATTTTAAATGAAATCAATTATTACCATCATTGTTAACTAATGAGACGTTGTTTATTTTTTTATTTATTTATATTTTTTATTTAAGCGTTTCACCCCAAGCAAGGCGAGAAGCCACTAGGACGCAAGGGGGTTACAGAAGATTTGGAGCAAGATCAGATAGGAGTGATAGAGGAAAGGATGAGGAGAAGGGTAGTGGATAGATCAAGGCAACTGGAGATGTCGACTGACATTATATTTGAATAGTTGGAGATTATAGCTCTCAGGGAAACTGGAATAGGTAAGGGAGTTCCACAGGCGAGAGGTGCGAAACATGAAGCTATTGGAGTAGAAGAGACGGCTACATTTAGGAGTTTCGACAGTGAAGGGGTGAGAGCGGGATGCCAGCCTCGTAGGGCGCTGGAACTCATGAAGTCTGGGAACCAGCGAATGCAGCTCCTCGGAGCAATTGCCATGAAAGTATTTGTAAAAAAGGCAAAGAGAGGTGACGGTGCATCTGTGAGAGAGCGACTGTAGACGAGATGCCAGAACAGGGCCAATTATATTGCATATCCGCCTCTGGATCTTATCAAGACAGAAAATGTACAAATTTGTAGTAGTAACTGACATGTTCTAATGTAACAGTGTAATATATGTATGTATATATATAGATAAATAGATAGATAGATAGATAGATAGATAGATAGATAGATAGATCAAGAACAATTTTAGGGTAATGAAATATGACAATGTGGCATTGTCATATATCACACATATACATATATATATATATATATATATATATATATATATATATATATATCACACACACACACACACACACATATATATATATACATACCTAACACAGACAGAAACATATATACATACATCACACACACACATATATATATATATATATATATATATATATATATATACACATACATACATCACGTATGCATACATACATCTATATAAGTGTTCAATCCACATGAGCCTAATCGTAATGTTATTGTTTTGAAGGTCATGTTTACGTTTTTATTTTATTTATTTAGTGGCAAATGTCATAGTAGCCAAAAAATAAGCCTGGGAATTATGTCCCCCCCTCCCAATATCCACCTAGCCTTTTATCCTTTTTCAGAATAATCGATCTGGTTATATCCAAAAAACGATAAAAAGGCTGCAAACTGTCAAGTCCTCATCAATAAAATATTCACAAATTAGTTGGCCTAATTTGACCGATGAAATTAATTGGCTATTCTTAAAAACTAATCTGGAAATGTTTGGCATCACACCACATCCAACCAAAATGGTGGACGTCGATACAAAAGGTCACGCTAGACGTCTTGGCGGAGGTCGACCTAATTAAATCGAACACGAAAGCGTAGTCTGTCGGAGTTCTTCAGCGGGGCTGACTTGTCGATGTCTCGAATGAATAAAGACGACGGAGTTCCCCTCTTGAGGAATCGTGAGACACCTTCTGAATGTGATGTGTCGGGGTCGTCACGAAGACCATCAAACGAACGATTGAAGAAGAGGGGACAAGAAAAAGAAGAGAAAAAAAATGTCCTTTCCTGTTCAGGACGTAGGTGATCATGACTCTCCACAGATTCCTTTTTAATCTTATCTGTGAATTGCCATGTCTTCTGAGGAAAGATAGTGGAGTAGTCTCCTTTGCCATTCTCTATGGTTTCGGGTTGATTTTTCCTTCTCCGTTTACGCTAACAGCCACATCCCGTTGACATACCGCTTCTCGTACGCTCACCGAAGTTAAGCAACATCGAGTCTGGTCACTATGGGTGACCACCTAGGAATACCTGGTGCTGTAAGCTTGGATGTGCGAATAATGTAATCGATATAAAGTGGGTTATCAGTTATAGTGAAGTGTATGAGTGTTGAAACGGATTAGTTTGATTTGGCCTTGTTAGTTAAATAGGCCACCATAAGAGGGGTATAAAAACAAGAAAATCAAATAGTAAAGTGAAACAACAAATTTATATACATATAAATCAATTAAGGTCTCTACAAATAAAATTAATGTGTTTTGGTTGATACAAGGTCGTCAAAATATTCGTAGTAGTCTTTGCAAGAATCTTTATGTGTACATAGGCAGGAACGTATGTGTGGATGTATGCATGTATGTATGTATGAGCGTTGTCGTAGGGTAGGAATGTCTTTGAAGTAATTGCTCAGTCTTAAAATGTTCCGTTCGTTTATCAAGTATAAAAAAGGTGAGGGAGAAAGGTAGAGATAATAATAACGATTGCTTGTTAATACGCTCGTCTCCTCCTCTCTGGTGACAGGCGAACTTGCCCGTCTTTTATTTTGTTTGTGTGGCTTGAAAAGGTCATTTGGGAATTCACTCCCGGATATGATTCGGCCCTTTCCATTGGACGACGAACAAACTTCGCATCGGCTCGCGAAAAGGTCCGTAAAAGAGTTTGTTTCTGAGAATTAAAGATTATTTGAATTTTGTTTTTAAATGTTTCCTAAGTTTCTATTGGCCGAAAAACATTTCGCATCCAGGTGTGAAATTTCACGAGTTTTGTTTTGGATTCGTTTTTGCGTGTGTGTTAAGAAAAGTTTGTAAATTCGAGTCTTTTTAATTTCTAGCAAAATCAATGAGTCAGTGATTAGCATTTGAATTTTAAATCTAGATCTTGTTTTGTTCACTACAGATAACAGCCTGGAATTGGAAATCAGAGTGCAAGGTTCCAAATGGTTACTTTATATTCACTTACGCGCAAACACACTTGACAAAGGTATAAATCTATCTTTGCTCCACCCAGCTATGGGTTAATTAGTAGGACTTGTATCAGCAAATCATTATTATCTCAAAAAAATTCTCACAATCTAAAAATATTTTCTGGCTTTAAATAACCTACAAAAGAATGTAAATGATCTTGGCTCTCCACAGCTTCCCCTTTATTATCTGTGAATAATTATTTTTTTTCTTTTCCAACTTGGTTTCGAATTTAGAGTTGTCCTTTTGCTAGACAGGCAACCAACCAACCAACGCACAAGAGCCTAGCCCACACCAAATAAATTTAGAACTGGTGCGACGGAGTGATAAGAAATGAATTCATGCCTTTCAAGTGGGAATCATTGAAAAGTGAATGCAACAGACACAGGTGGGATGTGAACACGTCACGCTGGTTCCACTTGCCACACCGTTAATCAAACAGAAAACCCTTCACTACAACTGAAATTATGCTGATAAAATCTTCCAACGCCGTGTGTCAATCGGTGTCAAAATTACAAGTCAAGTCCTATTTTCAAGAACCAGTTTTCATATTAACCCCTCCACTGGTCAGATGAAATCCCTCTTTGCTGATAAGCTAAATTCTTCAATTTACAAATCACGGTGGGTTTATTGAATAACACACGGGGAAGAAAACATACCAAAATGCAGAGAAACATTAAAATTCAACAGAAACAGCCAGTTAAAAGTGGTGTGACAAATTACCAATCACCTATACTTCTATAATATAAATGTATTTAATAGCTTTCTTTAATGGTTGAGATTCTAATCAACAGTTAGCGTCTCGGTGGAGCCTGAAATATGCCGACATCATTCCACGAAGAGAAGCGAAACCATCGCAAACATGTCCAGATACGAGACACAGATGCTTGTGAACTCAGTTATTTTTTATCCATAGTCTAAGCTGTAGGTAAACACGGCCAATGTTTACAGGGGCCTGAGCTATGCTTAAACGAGAACAATGTTTATCAGGAGCCTCAGCTATGGATAAATCCAGCCAATGTTTACCAATCGCCTCAGCTATGGATATACCGGGCCAATGTTTACCAATAGCCTCAGCTATGGATATATCGGGCCAATGTTTACCAATAGCCTCAGCTATGGATAAATCCGGCCAACCTTTACCAATAGCCTCAGCTATGGATAAATCCGGCCAATGTTTACCAATAGCCACAGCTATGGAGATATCGGGCCAAGTTTTACCAATAGCCTCAGCTATGGATAAATCCGGCCAATGTTTACCAATAGCCTCAGCTATTGATATATCGGGCCAATGTTTACCAGTAGCCTCAGCTATGGATAAATACGACCAATGTTTACCAATAGCCTCAGCTATGGATAAATCCGGCCAATGTTTACCAATAGCCTCAGCTATGGATAAATCCCGCCAATGTTTACCAATAGCCGAAGCTATGGATATATCGGGCCAATGTTTACCAATAGCCTCAGCTATGGATAAACCCGGCCAATGTTTACCAATAGTCGAAGCTTTGGGTAAATAAGACCAATATTTACCAAGCGTCGCCACAATACGTAAACACGACCAGTGTTTCCCAAAAGCCACATCTATGAGCAAACACAATCAATGTTTACCAAGTGCCTCATATACAAGCAACAACGACCTCTGTTTACCAAGATCCTTAGCTATGCTTAAACGAGAACAATTCTTATCAATAACCTCATCTAAACACAATCAATGTTTACCAAGAACCTCACCTACAAGGAAACATGTCCAATGTTTACCAAGAGCCTCGGCTATGGGTAAATACGGCCAGTGTTCATCAAGGTCTCATCTATGCGTAAACGGAACCAATATTTATCAAGAAACTCTGCAATGCATAAATACAACCAAGCTTTAACAAGGGCCTCAGGGATACGTAAACATGGCCAGTGTTTACTATGTGTCTCTGGGAAGTGTAAATACGACTAATGTTTTACCATGTGTCTCCGGGATGCGTAAACACGACCAGTGTTTTACCACGGTTCTCCGAGATGCGTAAACACGACCAGTGTTTTACCAAAGGTCTCCAGGATTTGTAAACACGACCAATGTTTTACCAAGGGTCTCCTGGATGTTTAAACACGACCAATGTCTATCAAGGCTCTCCGGGATGCATAACACGACCAATTTTTTACCAAGGGTCTCCTGGATGTTTAAACACGACCAATTTTTTTACCAAGGTTCTCCGGGATGCATAACACGACCAATGTTTTACCAAGACACGGCCAATGCCCAACCATAATCTCAAGCAAGAATAAACACGGCTAATATTCACCCACATATTAAAAAACTAATAACACAGTAACGTTTGCTTTAACGTAATGTCTATTTTCCCAACCAGCAGCTATTAAAATTTGTACACCTTGTTTTTCTGTTATTTTTTTTTTAAAGCTAAATAGACATAGAAGATAAATTGTAATCATGTTAAACTCTACCCACTGGTTTACATAAATATAATAAATGTGAACAAGCACAAGCGATCCCATTATTGAATTAAGTAGACCACGAGACCATAGAGTAAACGCATATATAGGAATTCGTGTGAGGTGTAAAGGATCGCAATTTCTAGTCTATCCTCTATACTATTCGGATCTTTATTTCTAGTCTATCCTCAATATTATTCGGATCCTCATTTGTAGTCTATCCTCTATACTATTCGGATCTTTATTTCTAGTCTATCCTCTATACTATTCGGATCTTCATTTCTAGTCTATCCTCTATACTATTCGGATCTTCATTTCTAGTCTATCCTCTATACTATTCGGATCTTCATTTCTAGTCTATCCTCTATACTATTCGGATCTTCATTTCTAGTCTATCCTCTATACTATTCGGATCATTTTATTTCTAGTCTATCCTCTATACTATTCGGATCTTTATTTCTAGTCTATCCTCTATACTATTCGGATCTTTATTTCTAGTCTATCCTCTATACTATTCGGATCTTATTATTTCTAGTCTATCCTCTATACTATTCGGGATTCTTTATTTCTAGTCTATCCTCTATACTATTCGGATCTTTATTTCTAGTCTATCCTCTATACTATTCGGATCTTTATTTCTAGTCTATCCTCTATACTATTCGGATCTTTATTTCTAGTCTATCCTCTATACTATTCGGATCTTTATTTCTAGTCTATCCTCTCCTCTATACTATTCGGATCTTTTATTTCTAGTCTATCCTCTATACTATTCGGATCTTTATTTCTAGTCTATCCTCTATACTATTCGGATCTTTATTTCTAGTCTATCCTCTATACTATTCGGATCTTCATTTCTAGTTTATCCTCAATATTATTCGGATCCCCATTTCTAGTCTATCCTCTATACTATTCGGATCTATATTTCTAGTCTATCCTCTATACTATTCAGATCTATATTTCTAGTCTATCCTCTATACTATTCGGATCTCCATTTCTAATCTATCCTCTATTACTATACGGACCGCTATTCTCGACTCTATTCACTACAGTATTTCTCTACTTGGTGGTTACTTTACGAGCGAGTATTGTCGAGCAAAAGCTATTAGTGCGAGTGATATTCGAAGGCGTCTGACACCAGTATTGTTCAACGGCGTTATCATAGTTGTATCTGCGATTACAAAGTCTCTACTACAACGAGCATTACGAAAGTGATAGAGAGGATTCGTCCCCATCACAAAAGGTAACTAACATACGTCCAAAAGACCTTTGCCCACACCGAAGTGCACATTTTCTGAATCTCAGAGTTTACAACGTTTTCCCGGCGATAACTGGAATAGGATTTCGAGATGAAGAAATATGAACTGGACTTAGTGCTACCGGTTTTGTTTTTTTGTTTTTTTTTCTAAAGACTTGTTCCGAAGTAAAGCTATTTAGTCCTTCGGTGACTCAAAGAAAATCCAACAGAAAAAGTGTGAATTTAACAAAATTAATAACAAATCAAACATTTGGATATATTTTTTTTGGCGGGGCAGGGAGATTCAGACTGACGCTAAATATAGAAGAAATGTGAGACAAGGAAAAGGAAGAAGGAAAGGGGAAGAAAAGAAGAAGAAAAAAAGGATGATAGAGTCGATGAAAGAGAAAAGAAAAGAAGGAAAAGAAAAAGAAAAACGACGAAGAAGCTAGAAATTATCTGACAGAAGAGAAGAAGAAGAAACAGATAAAGAAATATGGAAGAACAAATGCATGAAGGAGAAAGAGGGAAAAGAAACAAAAGAGAAAGACGTGTGAGAAAGACGTATGCAAAAGAGAGACGAGAAAGTGCAACAAAGATGGAAAGAAGAGAGAACAAGAAAACAGAATGACAGCAGAAAGATTATTTGCATCCGACTGTTCGTTAACTTCCGAAAAGAAAAAAGATATATATGTAGAGAGAGAGAGAGAAAGAGAAGAGATTTAAAGAGAGAGGGGAGGGTAAGAGTGAGAGGAAAAAGAAAAAGAGAGAACGAAATAAAGACAGAAAAAAACAGAGAAAGAGTGAGAAGAGAGAGAAAAAGAAAAAAGGTAAGAGAGAAAGGATTCTTTTCATTCAGCTGGCCGTTAACTTCTGAAAAGAAAAATATATATAGAGAGAGAAAGACAGGGGAAGTCAGAGAAATAAGAGAGAGATATAAAGGAAGAGAATGATAGAGAGGGAGGAAGAAAGAGAGAAAAAGAAAAGAGAGAGAAAGAGATGAATAGAGAGAAAGAGTAAGAAGAGTGAGAGAAAGACAAAAGTAAGAGAGAAAGAATAAATTTTCCTTCGGCTGTCCGTTAACTTCTGAAACGAAAAGATGTAGAGAAAGAGAGAGGAAGGGGGGAGAAAGGATAGATAGAGAGAGGAAGGGGGAGAAAGGAGGATAAAGAGAAAAAAAGAGAGAGAGAGAGTAAACGAGAGAGGGAAAAGAGAGAAAAATAAAAAGAAAGAGTGCGAAAAAGAGAGAAGGAGAGGGAGAAAGAGAGAAAGAATAAATTTTCCTTCGGCTGTCCGTTAACTTCTGAAACGAAAAGATGTAGAGAAAGAGAGAGGAAGGGGGGAGAAAGGAGTGATAGAGAGAGGAAGGGGGGAGGAGAAAGGAGTGATAAAGAGAGAAAAATAGAGAGAGAGAGAGAGTAAACGAGAGAGGGAAAAGAGAGAAAAATAAAGAGAAAGAGTGCGAAAAAGAGAGAAGAGGAGGGAGAAAGACTGCGAGAGAAAGAGGTCGACAGCAAGAACAAAGAGAAAGAGAGGGTTAAGAGGGGGGGAGAGAGGACGAGAAAAGCCATAGAACGAAGAAAGAGGTATTTTCCATTCTGCTATTGAAGAGAACAAGAGCAAAAGAAGTGAGGAAAGCAGAGAAAAAGAATAAAGGGTGGGGATTGCGTCCTGTTTTCTCAAGAGAAAGGAACGACCATCCTACCCTTTCGATGAACGACGCTCCTTAATACGTGTCAGTCTGGCAGAAGCAGAGATTTTTGGCAATTAAAGGATTCTTGGACTGACAGGAAGGAACTGGTCAAGCAGAAAGAAGGTCTTTTAGTTTTTGTTCCATGGAGGAGATTTGGCATTTCCTTTCGGCCGTTCAAAAATATCGAGAACAACGAACATGCATTCCGGAGGAAGGGAAACTTAAAAGACAAACACCAAAACACACACAGACATACACACACATACACAAGGTAGATAGATAGATAGATAGATAGATAGATAGATAGATAGATAGATAGATAGATAGATATGAAGATTCTTTGATAGATAGATAGATAGATAGACAGATAGATATGAAGATTCTTTGATAGATAGATAGATAGATAGATAGATAGATATGAAGATTCTTTGATAGATAGATAGATAGATAGATATGAAGATTCTTTGATAGATAGATAGATAGATAGATATGAAGATTCTTTGATAGATAGATAGATAGATAGATATGAAGATTCTTTGATAGATAGATAGATAGATAGATATGAAGATTCTTTGATAGATAGATAGATAGATAGATATGAAGATTCTTTGATAGATAGATAGATAGATAGATAGATAGATATGAAGATTCTTTGATAGATAGATAGATAGATATGAAGATTCTTTGATAGATAGATAGATAGATAGATAGATAGATAGATATGAAGATAGATAGATAGATAGATAGATAGATATGAAGATTCTTAGATAGATAGATAGATAGATAGATAGATAGATAGATAGATAGATAGATAGAAGATTCTTTGATAGATAGATAGATAGATAGATAGATAGATAGATAGATAGATAGATAGATAGATAGATATGAAGATTCTTAGATAGATAGATAGATAGAGAGAGAGATATGAAGATTCTTAGATAGATAGATAGATAGATAGATAGATGATAGAAGATTCTTTGATAGATAGATGAAGATTCTTAGATAGATAGATAGATGAAGATGATAAATAGATAGATAGATAGATAGATAGATAGATAGATATGAAGATTCTTTGATAGATATAGATAGATAGATAGATATGAAGATTCTTTGATAGATAGATAGATAGATAGATAGATGATATGAAGATTCTTTTGATAGATGATAGATAGATAGATAGATAGATAGATAGATGAAGATTCTTTGATAGATATGAAGATTCTTAGATAGATAGATAGATAGATAGATAGATAGATAGATAGATAGATAGATATGAAGATTCTTTGATAGATAGATAGATAGATAGATAGATATGAAGATTCTTTGATAGATAGATAGATAGATAGATAGATAGATAGATAGATATGAAGATTCTTTGATAGATAGATAGATAGATAGATAGATATGAAGATTCTTTGATAGATAGATAGATAGATAGATATGAAGATTCTTTGATAGATAGATAGATAGATAGATAGATAGATAGATAGATATGAAGATAGATAGATAGATGAAGATATGAAGATTCTTAGATAGATAGATAGATAGATAGAGATAGAATATAGATAGAAGATTCTTTGATAGATAGATAGATAGATAGATAGATAGATAGATAGATAGATAGATAGATATGAAGATTCTTTGATAGATAGATAGATAGATAGATAGATAGATAGATAGATAGATAGATAGGGAGGAAGCGAGAGATATAGATGAGGAGACTGATATAAACATATATGAACAAACTGAGATACATAGACCGATATATTCGAACTGACTCACATAGATCGATAAATATGGACATAGATACACGGATCAGTAGATACGAACAGACTGATTACAGTCTACATGGATCGATAGATACGGACAGACTGTGTACAATCCATACAGATCGATAGATACGGACAGACTGATTACAGTCCGTACAGACTGATAGATACCAACAGATTAACGTAGAATTTTTCTATCTATAGCCGAGACTATTCCTAATAGCTCTCAAGGTCGAAGGTCATGGTTGTAAGTAAGGTGGTTGCTTACCGAAAGAATACGAAAGGGAAGAGCATGCCTCAGTCCTGATACCATGTCATGGCGTGTCGAAGCAGTCAAAATCTGAACTGGTAGAACTAAGGGGTGTAGCTCCTTTGAACAATTTCGACGGTTGTAGCTAGAAGACTAAGACGTTTCTTCATTTGGAAAGCGGTCCCAGAATCGGAAATAATTCATCATCCACAAAATCGCGTAAATGCTTTTGAAGTTTTTTTCAGGGCTGCAAAGAGATGATTGGGCTGTTCCATCCCGGATATGGCAGCAATACTCCATTTTTGACCATGATCTTACTTTTGTAAAGATAAAGCATGGCACAAAGAGCCAGGTACTTCCTGGGGTGGCACAAGTACCTGACTTATTTTTTTTATTTTTTTTTTTTTTTTTTTAGTGATGGATCGTGCCTAGGAGTTCAATCTTGATATCTGGGGGTGAGTCCCAGTAGACAAACCAAGTAACTTCAATAAGAGTACAAAGGTTGTCTGATTGATTAGTTGTTTTTTTACGGTTTATCAACCTTTCATTTAAAGCAACAGTATGGTTGGATTTTAAGTATTTTTAGTTTATAATGACTTTCAAAAACAGGTCGTACTATTTAATCCATAACTGGGAGGAGGAGAAGCGGGTCCATACCTTTGCCAAGCGCATTTGCATGTAAGTGAATTCGAACATGGATCTTCGATTTCTCATTCCGAACGGTTATCCATTACACCAACAACACGTCCAAGCTTACGGCACCTGTTTATGTATGATGCTCGTAATGTGCAGGGATGTGCGTGATGTGCTTGTGCGTATTTGCATAAATCGCATGTATGTATGTGTATTTATGTGTTTGCGCCTATGTATATAGTACTGAACAGTTATGTAATATCAGTCCTCCTATATGGCAGTGAATTCTGGACAATCTCCTCACAGATGAAGAAGAGACTTGAAGCAACAGAAACAAAGAAAAGAGTACTGAACAGTTATGTAATATCAGTCCTCCTATATGGCAGTGAATTCTGGACAATCTCCTCACAGATGAAGAAGAGACTTGAAGCAACAGAAACAAAGAAAAGAGTACTGAACTGTTATGTAATATCAATCCTCCTATATGGCAGTGAATGCTAGGAAATCTCCTCAACGATGAAGAGACTCGAGGCATCAAATACAGGACCTGAACATGTGATTAATGACCGAGATTTAGATAAACACAAAGAACACTTGCATCAGAAAACATAGATTTGAGATTTCTAGGGCATATAATGAGGAAAGAGGGCTTGGAAAATCTGACACTCACGGGACAGATTAAGAACAATAGGAAAAGAGAGGAAAACAGCGCTTAACCTAATCTAACGCGATTGTGTAAATGGCGGAAAGAACAGGATTTCAGGAGACGTAGCGGAAAGACAAACTTTACTAAAGGCTACAAAGAACAGGAAAATGTTGGAGAGCCATGATCGCCCACGTTCTAAAGGGGACACGGCTCTTCTTCTATATAATAAATGCAAATATCAGTGTGTCACACTTTTTCAAGTTTACTCCTAAAAGCTGTAGACCAACATATCATACCATTTTGGAATCAGGCCGACTCTGTGATCTAATTAAAAACAATTCGCGCCGTAACCCGGACACGCAATTCTGAAATTTTGGATTCCCAAATTTTCATAACTACGACTGTTTTCGACGATTTTTTTTAAGTGATTTTTTTTTTTTTTTTTTGTAAGATAACTATTTTTCATAACTTGGAAATTAATTTGGGAATAATCAAAATTAATTGCGAAATCCATCGAAAAAACATTAAAGAAATAAAAAAAAAAATCGTTTGTGCGGAAAGTAAGGACCTACGCACATCATTTTGTTTTTACATTAAATGGCGGCAGAAGAATTATCGTTGAACTTTTAAAGGGTAAACTTAAATATTAATGCAATTTTTTTTTTTAAATATTTCATCCCAAGCAAGGCGGGAGTGCCACTAGTACTCAAGAAGCTACAGAGAGGGAAAAAATTAGTAACGTGGGGATTGAGGAAAGGATAACAAGGATAAAAAAAAGAAAGAACGGAGATCAAGGCAAAAGAAGATGTCGATTGACATTACGTTTAAATTTTTGAAAATTATAGTCACCAGGGAAGCAAGTAAGAGGAAGGGAGTCCCACTGTCGGGAAGTGTGAGATAACAAGCCGTTGGAGTCGATCAGCAGTTTAAACAATCCAGTATGTTCCAGCCCTTGGTCATGATGGCAGTCTCTGAAAAGTTCACTCTACCCAATTTGACTCACAAGGCTTGGGTCAACCTGTGGTATGGGTTACAAGCACTTTCCAAAAAGAGTGAGAGCAAGAGTAAATAGGGGTGTTTGAAGAAAGTATAAAGAAAAGGACAGGGATCAAGATCAAGACACCAGACGATATCGATTGACATTACATTTGAATATTTGAAGATTATAGCTATCAGGGAAGCAAGTAAGAGGAAGGGAGTTCCAAAGTTGGGAAGTGCAAAAGAAGAAGCTGTTACATTTAACTGTTTCGACGGTAAAAGGGTGGCACCTAGATGCCAACCTGGTATCACGCTTACATTCACGCAGTCGGGGCACCAGGGAAAATAGCTCGTCAGAGCAGAGGCCATGAAAATATTTATGGCAAAGAGAGAGGTAAGTCACATTACGTCCGTGAGATAGTGACTGGAGTTGAGATGCCAGGTCAGGACCTATCACATTGCATATCCGTCTTTGGATTTTGTCGAGAACCACGAGATGAACAGCGGGGGGTGGGCACCAGACCACGTATGGCAACGGTAAATGCAGCGATCAATTTTGTGTTCTTCTGTAGTTTATTGTTGCCTATCGCATCTACTCCTCTCTACCTATTGCGATGAAGGCCCAATCAAGAGCCCTCCCTAATAGGGCAGCATTTAAGCTAGTTTATATATATTATATATATATATATATATATATATATATAAAGAAATATAGTCTTAAGGTATGCTATATTTATGGAATAAAGTGCTCATTATCAGAGATAGAGCGTGTAAATATATAAAAGTGAACATAGAACAGTGAATATATAAAAGTGAACACAAATAGCCGAGAAAAATAACAGCATATGTGACCTGACGATTGCATATAGCATGAAACAGACTGT